ATAAAGGATCATTTCACTTCTGTAGTGTTTTAGGTGTCTTTTAAAGTCTTCATCTATTTTGAAAGATGTGAAATGTGCTATGTTGAACTTGCGTGGAGGCTCTGCTTGCTTGATTTAATCCGTGAAGGGTGACCTGCTTATGTTGGTTATGTTTCGTCTTATCACCTCATTAGTGACCTTGTTGCGTTGGAAATCGTGCAATTGTTCGGTTAAGAGCCTTTCTACTTCTTCCTAAATTTTTCTTTGTTAGGGTAGCAAAACTCTCAGCTGTCCCCGATCTTGACCTATTAGTCTAGGCTACTCTTCCATGTGTTCGACTCGTCTATATAGTGGCTACGGTGCATGTGGTATGTTCCTAGTAGGTGAGCGAATTTCTTGTAGGTTGTTGGTTGAACTTAAACCATATTGAGTAACTGCTTCCCTCCGTTCATCGTGCTGCCTATTCTAATGTGAGGTGGAGGATGCTCCTTGTGGGCATAGCTGCGAATGAACAATTCACCTGGAAAGTTGCTTATGTTGATTATTGGAATGTGGCCCCAACTGTGAGTGTATGCTCATCCATGAGCTTAACCGAAAGTGCACGCTCCTCTGTGCGCTAAGACGAGAGTATACGTTATCTTGGGCGTCAGTCGGAAGTGTACACTGCTAGAACACTCGATTCATGACTGGTTGAGTGGCTACTTGCTACGATGTTGAGGTTCTTCGTCTGCCCTTGTCCTACTTCGGGACACCTCGTCTGGGGCATATTGCATCTCAGTATGCTGTAAGAGCTGATTTACCAAGGTTGTCTGCTGCGCGAGGGCGCTTGTCAACTCTAAGACTTGTCGAGACAAGTGTTGTTCGCCATTTTGGTTGGAAAAGCTTGGACGTTATGTGTTTCCTTGAATAGTGGAAGTGTAATGGACTCCGGGCACGAGATTTGAGTTGGGATATGTCAAATATGCAGAGAAATGGGGTGAAAATACCCCTGATTCAATCATCGGTCTAGAAATTTGAAGTCGGGACAGTTGAACCAATCTTTGACCGGTTTGCATCGCTTGGAAGACCATGGGAATGGGCCGGATCTCAAATTGGGTCGCTGGTATAGGCTAGGCCACGTGTATGGGTTGCTCCACGTCTGTGAGTGCTAGGCATGGGCTTGGCTTGGAAACGTGTTGGGTTTGCGCTGACCTTAAGTGCGCGAGCGTTGGGCTTGAACAACTTAGGTTGTGCGCTGAGTGGAGGAAAATAGGACTTGGGGCAGTGGCTTGGGTTGCCTTTGATGCATGGGCTTGCTGTTGCACAGTGGTGTGGGCTTGGGCTTGTGGCTGCCTAATTGCTTGGACCTCAGCTACTAAGGCCTTAGCTGGCATTGCAGCACCGCGTGGGCTTGTTGAATATGGGTTACCTTGTGGCACGGGCCTGGGCCTGCTACTGCGAGGTGGCCTGCTCATTGTGGGTAGTGGGCTCGCGTAGGGCCATTGTCGTCGTGGTTGCTACCATAGTGGCAACCACGGTGGTGCCTCATGGGGATAGTGCCGCTTTACTAGCCATTGCGTTGACCCTCGTGGATCGTCGTGGTAGGGCTACGTCACGATCTCCATCACTTGGTCCAAATCCTTGAACATAGGAAGTTCTGTTCGTCGTGGTTTCCGAATTTCTAGTCATTGTACTTTTCTTTTACGTTTATTCAGAGAATTTTATAAAAAAGATTTTAGAAATAAGAACGTATGAAAAATCTACAAATGAACAAGAAATGAGAATCTTCGAATGCAAGAGTCTTCTTCGAGTGTGTGAATCAAGACTCTCAATGAAAGCATCAATTTATGGATGCAAATTTCCTTCTTCTTCTCCTTTGAAAAAAAATGTACCTGCAAAATAATAACACCTAAGATCAAGGCCGAGAGCCTCACGCGCCCATGATGAATGGAGGGGAGCTTTGGCCAAAGAATCTTCGATGCCAAAGTTAGAATTTGAGAGACAAAGTGTTTAGAGAATTTTAGGAAGAGAATGAACTTACATTTTGGTGTGAAGATGGGGCTATATATGGGGGTGTGGCCGGCTCTATTTGGAGAAATAGGGACCAACCACTTATGGTGGTATTTTGAATATAATTGCAAGATATTATGTCAAATAATATCTTGCAATTAATTTGGTAATTAATCCCAATTTGAAAAGAATAATTGGGAGCTGAAGATTTAATGAGAAGTGATGAGAGAGTTTTGAATAAATACAATTTTGATCACTTTTGACCTTGATTGAGCCATTATTGTCTGTTGCATGCGCGTAGGAATCCCAATGTGTCTTAAGGGTAATTTTATCTTTTTAATCCAAAAATCCACATGTCGCTTCCATACTTTTCTGGATTGTTTTTTACTCCACAGTGAGCATGAAAGAAGAAATAACTCGTTCTGCGTAAAAAAACCAAGTTGTTTTCTGTTGCCCGAGCATGTTCATTCTTAATGAAAATGTCCAACAGTAGATGTCAAATTTTTACTGTTAGTCTCACAGTAAGTCCACCTGTTTTGCCATGACAATGGGTAGCGGACTAGAGCAGTTGCTATTCACGCTGAATAATAATTGACTAAGCACAATTTTTATTCACAATTTGTTTTTTCTTCATTTAAATGCATAATGAAATTTTTTTAATAATTATCAAACGGGTAAGATTAGCCTTGAGCAGGATATTCAAATGTGTCCATAACTATAATATATATATATTTGATCTGATTTTCGATAAGATTTACGATTGCACTTGACGCGTTATATGTCATTATCAATTTAAAATTTTTGCTCCAATTTCTGATAAGAGATTCAATTTCTTATGTCGTGTCACTTGTCCTTAATTTTGACATTGCCCCCTTGTTGCCTTCTAATTCATGTAGTATTTGTCTACTCGGTTGAAATAATTTTGTCTTTTAATTCATCACTTTAATAAATTCCACATGACAATTTACATATCGGTCAAACCAAAAAACTTCACAACTTTTAGTATTCATATTCAAAATTTGAACGTTTTTGGAAAGTCAATTTGTGCACAGGAAATTAGGAATGTAACGATTACACCCACATATGATATTTTTAATTCATGTATTGTATTAAGTGGATGATATGATTAGTATATAGATAATATTTGTGAAACTTACTCTCGGGCAAGTGGCGGAGCACGGCAGCTCCGACGACCGATGACAGAAAGAAGAAGACGGAATATTCCATCAACTTTGACATAATATTCCTAGTGGCATTAGCATCTACTGTCAAACCGAAGGTATACTCCTTTAACTTTAACTCCACCGTCACGCTTAACTGTGACAGACAATTCCGTCTGACAATAGATATTCTAGCTCCGTTAATGGAATATTTCTTCTCCAGCGCTCGTCAACAAGTGCAGGCACGTTACGGCACATGGATCACTACTTTAATTCCTGAAAAGAGCAAACAAAGGAAAAAACTTAGGTTACTTACATTAATTTTTATTAGTGTAAAGATTAGTATGGTCGTTTCTCATTTAGGAGAAACTTACGTCAAGAATGAGCTTAAGCAAGGCCGCCATGACCCTGCAATATTATTGTAAGTAGGTCTTTGATCTCAAATTATATTATTTAGTTTTCTTAAATATGCTATAATTGAACGTATGTGATGCCATATCTTACCTCTAGAAATAATAAGGTCTTATACCTTATTGTTTTGTTATATTTCTTTGCATTTGCAACCCATGGAATGTTCTTACTTGTGTTATTTCTGCTCATTATAAGTGTCTGCACATAGTGTATAGCCTTTTTAAGGAACAATACTTAGCTACTAAAAAATAAGTATGAACTCATACTCAAAATTCTTTGTGTTTGAATCATAGAGTTTTTGTTTATGATCAGAACTGTTCATATTATGATTCACTTTGTAAAGATTATATTTGCAAAACATGAATTATAACTAAGGTCATTTGGTCAATCTATTGTAACAAATACACAGATGGTTCGTAATACTTTTATCAATTTTGTTAATCTATTTTTATACATAACTAAATGACCTTAGTTTTAATTGATTTTTTTGTTGAAACAATTTTTATAAAATGATTTATAATAAGAATGATTTTTTATTATAAACACGAAGTTCTATGATTAATAATAAATAATTTTAAATACAAATTATTACTCATTTTATGAATAATCAAGTATTATTATTTTTTATGTGGCCCACCACATCCATTTAAGATATACTCAAAAGTGAAAATGCCTTTTATGTTTTTTTCTTCATATTCATTCCAATTTTCAAATAAAAAATTTAAGGGACATAGAATAAGCAAATGTGTCATACAAATCTGCAAAAATCATTTCATATTCAAATTCATTCAAATGGGTTCCAAATCTGCAACGATGCCAAGGGCTATATGTGTAATTCCACACACTGTCATTTCCAAAACAACCATCACCCTCACACGTGTGACCTCTTTGAATGGCAAAAAGGGAATGGATCCTCTCCTGAGCTTGCTGAACAAATTACATGAGCTGTTAAATTTTGATCCAACGATTACAATTAAAGAATTTATGTAAAAGTTATAATAATTATAATGGTTATCATCCGTTTTCCCACAAAAAAGTCACCTTGAAATGTCACAAAACCCCAGCTCACACGTGGAAAAGATTCACATCGGAAACGTAAAACAATTCGAATAATAAAAAGAGAACATTCAAAATTTACCAATGCCCAACGGTCGGATTTTCTGCTTCACTCGCAATCGTAGCCGTCGAGTCTTCAATCTTGCTCGACATTTAAGGCCAGCTGCCCAAACTTAAGCACGCATTTTCTCTCTCGACAGAGAATGCGCAGTAAAAGATACTTTCTTTTTCAATTTTATTTTCTTCCATATTAGAGAGAGAGAGAGAGACAGTGACATTTTGTCATTTCATTTGCTTCCTTTTAGAGAGAGAGAGAGAGAGAGAGAGAGGAGATTTGAATGTGGATTTGATTTTGTTTGTATAAATATTCACCTGTTGTCTGGTTGTGTTGGAAAAACAAAAAAAAAGTTCAAAAATTTGAAGTGGGTCGAGTTTGAAATCGAGCTAGCTGCTTCTGCTGCTGGTTTTTAAAAATTGGGTTTCGAGCGTTTCCTCCTGTTTCTCTAATTGCAACCAGAAATTGTTTCTGGGTTGTTTCTGAAACTGCCACTTGAATGTGAGTGACTGAGATTCAGAGAGAGAGAAAGAGAGAGAGAGATTAAATCCAGTTGCTTTGAGGATTTTGGCAGCATTTCTGAGTTGGGTTTTGTAATTTAGAGAGAGAGAGAGAGAGAGGAGGAGGGCTTTAGAGAGAGAGGGGGGGGGGTTTGAAGGTAAATTGATCTGGGCTCTGCTGAAGTTGATCACAGAGAAACTGGGAGGTTTGAAGTGCAAGCTATAGTGGGTTGCTTTCTGAGGAAAAAAGAGAGGACAAGCTTCTGTTTTCTGAGTCTTAAAGGTTAGTTCTTTAAATTCTCTACTTCAGATGTAAAAGAAGAAAAGTTTCATCCCTTTTACACTTTCTGGAATTTATCATATTTACTAATTACATGTAATTCTGGGAATCATTGCTTTCCTTTTGTGTTGCAGTAACAAAAAGGAGAGAGAGAGAGAGAGAGAGAGAGAGAGAGAGAGAGAGAGGGAGGGAGGGAGAAGAGGGCATTTGTCTCATCAGTTGTGGCTGTCAATGGTGGAAGCCTTTGGATTATAATCAAAGTCAATTCAAGTTGAGGTATTTGTTTGATGATTTTTTCTTTGAATTTTCTTGAAAGTAGTTTGTGGGGTTTGGTCCATCCATCTAGCTGAAGTTTTAGACACACTCTATTTGTACAACTTGGGATAGATAGAGACTTGAACCTTCTCTTCAAAGTAAAGCCTCTCTCTCTCTCTCTCTCTCTCTACCCCACCTAGCTTCATTTATGAGTAAAAATGGTAACCAAGCCAAGAATCCCTACTTTCCCATTCTCCTTCCATAAAATCGTGACCCTTGAATATCGATCAAGGCTCGTTATAATTTTTTGCAAAGCGATATCCTACTTTAGTCTAATTTAATCGGTAGAAAGATAGATTCGAACAAAGGATCAAGATCAAGTTTTCTCTTGATTGATCTTGATCGTGGTTGAAAAGTAAAGTTGTAGCTTTAAGTTTCACTCACCAATATACCCGTCTTTAGTCACATAAATTTCCCTCATAACATCTACTAGAAGAGAAGACTGATTTGATTTCACTTACCAACTTTAGGCCCTCTTAATTGGACGGCACTGCTTTCTGCTTATTAGCATTTAAAAGCAAACTTTTATAATATTAGAAGTTTTTAATCGTCATTAAAAATTAATTAATTTTTTTTAGGATTTAATTTTGGTTTGGGTCATTTAATGATGGCTTGCCAACAGTATGTCCTTGGGCATCTTTTAGGTAATTTCCCATATGGTTGGTCGAATATTGTTTTCAGCAAAGCAAGCTTGCTGTGATCATATAAGATTCTCGAAGCTATTGATGTGGCCCTATTTGTTTTTATTTACATCTAATAATATTATTGCTTAATTTATATTTTTATGATTGCAACTGCTCCACTGCCTTTTAGTTTTATATGCACATATCTTTACTTTGCATCTTCTTATTTGTTAGCATTCTAACAACCCTGTGTTTTCTTCCAAGGTTCAGTTGCTTGAGCTCTCGTATCCAATTTGATTGAGATCATGGAGGAAGAAGGCGGCAATGAGGTTTTGATCTGTACACGATCAGCAGAAGAATGGTTGTTACATGCTCGGGAGCTTGTTCCATTGGCACTGAACAAGGCAAGAGAGGTTAAGGGGTTTCCGGGTCGATGGAAGATGATCATTTCGAAGTTGGAGCAGATCCCTTCGCGTTTGTCGGATTTGTCTAGCCATCCGTGCTTCTCCAAGAATGCTCTTTGTAAGGAGCAATTGCAGTCGGTATCTAAGACGTTGAAGGAGGTTATTGAATTGGCAGAATTTTGTGTGGGGGAGAAACACGAAGGAAAACTTCGGATGCAGAGCAATCTGGATGCATTGTCTGGGAAACTAGATTTGAATTTGCGGGATTGCGGGCTATTGATCAAGACCGGGGTGCTTGGTGAGGCTACTTTGCCTTTAGCAATGGCCGGTTCCTCAAGTGAGCCGGAGGCTGCTGCCAATGGGAACATAAGGGAGCTGCTTGCGCGGCTTCAGATTGGTCACTTGGAGGCAAAACACAGGGCTCTCGACAGTCTCGTAGGGGTCATGAAAGATGATGAAAAGAATGTGCTGTCAGTTATGAGTCGTAGTAACATTGCTGCTTTAGTTCAGCTGCTCACTGCAACATCTCCTCGTATCCGAGAGAAGACTGTGACTGTAATTTGCTCACTTGCAGAATCTGGAAGCTGCGAAAATTGGCTTGTTTCTGAAGGTGTTTTGCCACCTCTGATAAGGCTTGTTGAGTCTGGCAGTGCAGTAGGGAAAGAGAAGGCTACAATTTCGCTTCAGAGGTTGTCAATGTCTGCTGAGGCAGCACGTGCAATTGTTGGGCATGGAGGGGTTCGTCCACTGGTTGAGATCTGCCAAACTGGTGATTCTGTTTCTCAGGCTGCTTCTGCTAGCACTTTGAAGAACATATCAGCTGTCCCTGAGGTTCGACAGACTCTAGCTGAGGAAGGCATTGTAAAAGTTATGATCAATCTCCTTGATTGCGGAATTTTATTGGGTTCAAAAGAATATGCAGCAGAATGCTTACAGAATCTCACTGCAAGCAATGACAATCTCCGAAGGTCTGTAATATCAGAAGGTGGAATTCGAAGCCTGATGGCTTATCTTGCTGGCCCGTTGCCACAAGAATCCGCAGTTGGGGCATTGAGGAATTTGGTTGGTTCGGTTTCTATGGAGGTCTTGGTTTCTCTTGGTTTCCTTCCACGCATAGTTCACGTGCTTAAATCCGGTTCACTGGGGGCACAGCAGGCTGCTGCATCGGCAATTTGCAGGGTTTGCAGCTCAACAGAGATGAAAAAATTGATCGGTGAAGTGGGGTGCATTCCTCTCCTCCTCAAGATGCTCGATGCTAAATCAAACAGTGCAAGAGAGGTTGCTGCACAGGCAGTTTCGAGTCTGATGACCTTTTCTCATAATTGCAGAGAAGTGAAAAGGGATGACAAAAGTGTGCCGAGTCTAGTTCAACTGCTTGACCCTAGTCCCCAAAACACAGCCAAAAAATACGCAGTTTGTTGCCTTGGATTACTGTGTTCGAGTAAGAAATGCAAGAAGCTGATGGTCTCGTATGGAGCAATCGGGTACCTCAAGAAGCTTACAGAGATGGACATCCCTGGAGCGAAGAAGCTACTCGAACGGCTGGAAAGAGGGAAGTTGAGAAGTTTCTTCACAAGAAAATAGAGGAAGAAATGCGAAGTGTACTTTTGGTAAGCTTTGTGAAGCTTTTGATATCTGATGCAGTAGCTGTTTCATGGTCTATATGAAACGATGTAATCTATGTTATGTATGTTCTGTTATTTATAAGGTTTATGAAAATATAAAATCTCTGTAGTTCTATCATGTTTTTCTCCTCTGCTATCTGGTGCAATTTCTGGGATGCCATAACAATTTTAGCCCTTATATCAAAGCTTCCCTCTCGTCGCTTCACGAGCGATTCTTAGATATCATCGGTTGCAAATCATGTCTCTTTCTCTGATCAAGTGACATGGTTGTTACAACCCGTGAAAGGGAAAATTTTGTCTCTTGCCACCTATCGATTGATCAATAGAAATGGTGCAAGCTGTACAAGTTTCTTATTATGGCATACATTAACCTCAACATTTACATTTCGCATCAGTCCATCTGTATATAACTAATATTTATGTTGTGTTTTGGAAGGTCGACTATCCTCACAGTTTAGCAAATCCTGCTATATTTCTGATAGTTTTCTTTCATTTTTCCATCTCCACCAATCCAAATTGATTCCAAAGAAGCAGACCAACACACTTCTGATAATTAGTCAAATTGCCCAATAATTTAATCTCATTAGAACTGCAGTTGCATTTGGGTGCCTCATTGGGTCCAGAGCTAATATATTGCTTTTCCAAAATCTACTTTCCAATGAACACTTTTGCTGAGAAGCATGTTTTAGGGACATGCTTCAAATCAAGTGCTAGGCGTTGAGAGTATGAACCATGTATCGGAGAAAAAGTATTGTCTAATAATTTATATAATCACGAGCACCTTCGTCCTATTGCCAATTAGTTTTAGAATAGTTCATATTATATTACTACATAATTACACTTGTATATTTTCCCGGAAAATGAAAATTTGCATTGCAACCCCGTTATAAGTTTTGACCCGTTTATGTCAAATGCTACTGAAAACACTTTTAACACTCGGACTAGTTTATAATAAAGTTGTTACTTAATTTTATTGTTGAACTTTATTGTCAATTTCCAATTTTAGTAGTTAAAGAATGCTGCCAAAGATCCTATCCACTGAAGCTTATTAGTGGGAAAAGATAAACTCCAAAATCTGTCTCTAAGTTTTAGTTGCGGTTGCATCGCATGCACAGAAAATGTGAGAGAAACATATATGACATCATGGAAGATGTGCCCCATCATTATTTGCATCATGCTAGCGCAACTTCAGGGATGAGGATCCCATCCGGATCCAAATGGTGGGGATCCTAGGGATCCTCACATCCTAGCCGTTCATCGTATATGATACGATCAGTTTTCGTCAGGTACTATTTGTATTTAATTTTAAATAATAAAATTCAAATAATTGCTGACCGCACAATATATGATGAACGATTAGGATATGAGGATCTCTAAGATCCACGCCATTTGGATCCGGATGGGATACTCGCCATTTGGATCCGGATGGGATCCTCATCCCAACTTCAGCATCTGATTTTGTTTTGGAAAATAATTTTGAGCAACCTGATTTTATTCATTTTAGGGTTTCTAAACTATAAGAGGATGTCTCTCTGTTTTAAGTTATTTTGTACAACATTTTCACACTGAGTTGAGGAGCGAAGAAATTGTTTATGAAATGCATTGCAAATCTATGGTTTGAAAAAGGCGCTAGGTGCTAGTTAGGTGGCGAATAGGAGTCTAGCCCTTAGGTAGTTTTGTTAATTTTAATTAATTTCATTATATAACATATAAATAAATATCTACTTATACTTAAAAATATATATATATATGTATACACACACACATACATAATTGTACTGGGATACATAAATTGCCAAATAGATTGAGATATAGATTATAAAATATTAAAACATATTGAAAACATGGGGAACAAAATATAATGAGTATTCATCCAAGTATTAAACAAGTCTCTTACAATTTATTGAAAAATAAAATGTAAAATGAAAGTTATCTATTTTCTGTTTAAGTGAGTCGAGACCAAGTGGTTAGACGGGTGCCTAGGTAAGTCTAAGCGCCCTTTCCTAATTTTTAAACGTCTAAGGATTAATGAGGCTAGACTTAGGCATCGTTAGGCGGGAATTTTTTGAACAAAGTAAATCTAATATACCTAGCTACAATGTTTTGAGAAGGAGAAACAAATAATAATTTGGAAGAAATGCAAGTGTACTTTTTGTAAGCTTTGTGAAGTTTCTGAAATAGCAGCTGTTTCATGGTCTATATGAAACTATGTAGTTTATGATATGAACAAGAATGCGCAAGCCCGGTGTAATCTATGTTATGTATGTTCTATTATTTATAAGGTTTATGAAAATATAAAGTCTCTGTAATTCTATTAAGTTTTTCTTCTCTGCTATCTGGTGCAATTTCTGGGATGCCATAACAATTTTAACCTTACAAGCTTCCCTCCTCGTCGCTCCATGAGCGATTCTCAGATGTCATTGGTTGTAAGTCGTCTCTTTCTCTGATCAAATGACAAGGTTGTTACTTGCCAGCTATCGAATGATCGAATTAAATGGTGCAAGCTGTACAAATTTCTTATTATGTCCTACAGCAGCCTCAACATTTACATTTTACATCAGTCCATCTGTATATTTATGTTGTGTTTTGGAAGGTCGACTATCCTCACGGTTCAGCAAATGCTGCTATATTCAGTTTACTTTCAGTTTTCCACCACCACTAATCCAAATTGATTCCGAAGCAGCAGACCAACACACTTCTGATAATTGGTTAAATTGCCCAATTATTTAATCTCATTAGAACCTGAATTTGTATTTGGGTGCTTCACTGACTGGACCAGTGCTAATATTGCTTTTCCAAAATCAACTTTTCAATTAGCATTTTGTCACGCCCCGGACTTGGAGTCGGTAGTTAATCCAAATTCAAAATGTGAGCTAAATTAAAAAGAAACTAAAACGAGATGAAAAAAAAATTTCCTCTTATATAATTACCAAGAATTTATTACAAAGCTACAAGGAATAATAAAATTCCTATTCTTACGATGATAAAAGAAAATTCCGAAGTCTCCTATCTAATTTGATCTCATCACGTCTACCCGCTTCAGTTGCCTAGTTTGTATGCTTGCAAAATTTAGTTAGGGTGAGCTTAAAAAGCTTAGTAGGACTGAAACCTTCATATACATATAACTGACAAATTTCAATTATCAAAGAAGTAGTTAAATATACGTACGAAATAATATGCATGATTGCAATGCAAAACACCTTCTCCACTCCCGTTAATTTGTATAATTAAACAAAAAAACATGCATGTCCCATACCATGCATTTTACTACTATAATGGTGATCTAGAATACTCAACTACTAACTATATGAACTAACTGCCTTTTGAAACCTCTCTTTTGTTAGTTGTCTTGCCTAATTCTTCATCACCAGTCCTAAATTACCGAATAAAGATCATGTACACTTTGAGTTGACCTGAGACCTGACCAAGAGTTGAGCTGCTTTAACTACACAAAAAACCCTAGTCACTACCATAATTCCAAACTCCCCTTCTCAAATAAACCAACAACCATTTCCTACACATGAGTAGTTCATAAGTATCCAATTCATTCCTTACATAACAAACATAATCAAGTAATCATCCAGAAAACATCATTGGAATCCAATTCACATTCAGAATTGGCACTCACATCCAAATAATATATCAAACAATATTCAGATGTAATATTAATATAAATAATCGTAACATAATAATAAGAAGGTTTCCAAGTGAGTGATGAGTGCCATTCAACACATTTCTTCAACTCTTACATTCCAATGAAGAAGGAAGGACCTAACTCAAAATTGGATTAATATTTAATTATTATAATTTTTTTTGTCAAACAATAAATTTTGTTGCAAAGAGTAAGGAGCAAGGGCCAACATACATAGATACATTATAAACTTATATGCATACAAAGCAACTAAATGAATCTCAATAATAAAAAATTCTATATTTTATATGAAAATAACTTTGAAATAAATATGTAGGTTTTTAAATACAGGTCTTCACACACTTTTACTAAGAAGCATGTTATAGGGACATTCTTCAAATCAAATGCTAAGCGTTGAGAGTATGAATTATCTAATAATTTAAAAATCACAAACATCTTCCTCTTGTTGCCATTTAGTTTTAGAATAGATGCTCACATCAAAATACTATAGAAATACAATTGTACATCTTTCTAGAGAACGAAAATTTGCATTGCAACCCGATAAATGTTTTTGAACTGTCTGTTAAACGCTACTGAAAATGCTTTTAACAATCGGCTAGTTTATAAAGAAGTTGTTCCTTAACTTAATTTTGTAGTTGAACTTTATACTCAATTTCCAATTCTAGTAGTTAAGAATTCTGCCAAAGATCAGCTTATTAGTGGGAAAACATAATTTCCAAAATTTGCCTCTGAGGTTTTAGTTGTGGTTGCATCTTGCATGCACATAAAAGATGAGAGAAACAAACATGACATCATGGAAGACATGGTTTGTTATATTTGATAACTAAAGTGCCCCCAACGGGCCAACCCCATCATTATTTGCATCATGCTAGCACAACTACTTCAGCATCTGATTATATTTTGGAAAATAATTTTGAGCAACCTGATTTTATTTATTTATGTAATTATTTATTTTAGGATTTCTAAAGTATCAAGAGGATGTTCCCTTGTTCAGTTGTTTATGTTATTTTCTACATTTTTGAATTGAGTTGAGGAAAGAATAAATTGTTTATGAAATGCATTTCAAATCTAATATGCCTAGCTACAATGTTATTAAAAGAAAAACAAATAATAATCATTTGATTATCTTATCTATGTTGCAATCCTATTAGATTAAAAATGTGATTGTGTAAATTCTGGTGTATCCAGGGATACCTTGAAATATTCCTTAGGGTTAGGTATTATTATATTAGAGTTGTAATCCTATTAGGACAATAATTTAACCTTCCCTACTACTATAAATAAAGGCATAATAGGGTGATATAACACACACTTCACAAACACATATCTTGCCGTTGGCCCCTCTCTCTAGCCCTAATTATAGTTCAGTCAATTAGGCCTACAACAATCTATACTATTATTAAATAAAGGCATAATAGTTCAGTAAATTAGGCATACAACAATCTATACTATTATTAAGAGAAAGTTCTTAGTCTTTATTATGTTTATGTTCAAACTTACCACCCCCCCCCCCCCAAAAACAGGAACTTGTAAGAAGCTACAAGAAGTTTTCACCCTGAACTTTCATTTTAGTCGACTAGTTCCTGAACTTTTATAATTGGGCAATTTCTCCTGAATTTTATTTTACCCGATTACCCCTCTTAACTTTTATAATTGGCCAATTTCTCGCCTGAATTTTAACTTTCCCTCTAAACCCTAAAACTCAAATAAAAAGTGTACGAAGTGAACTAGTGGAAGAGAAGAAGAAGAAAAAAAAAATGGTGTCCACAGTAGGGATAAAATTACCTTTTGCAATTATAAAACTAAATCTTAGTAGCGAAATTGGCCCATTATAAAAATTCGGGTCGTAATCGACTAAAGTTAAAATTTTGGAAAGAAATTGGTCAATTATAAAAGTAAATGGTAAAATTAAAATTCATGAGAAAAATTGATAGCTTTTTACAAATTTAGAGAAAATATCAGCAAATATCTCAAATAAAAATGAGGAACCAAAGAAATGAAAATAAGATGGAGAGGAGGAAATACTTCAAAAGGCTGAAATGGAGTTTAATTCCAAGTATGGTTGCATCCAAACATTCAATGTTCACATGTAGTGCCACAAACGTCCAATGCTCCATCTCAATCCATCACCACCAGAACAAGAAAACTAGATAAAGTTTAAACAACACAGCAAATAATTTTTTTGATTAAAAAAAAAAATTGCCAAGAAAATTGAAAAACCAATCAAGCAATCAGAAACCCTTATCTAATAGGTTCTCTCTCTCTCTCTCTCTCTCTCTCTCTCTCTCTCTCTCTCTCTCTCTCTCTGCACGAATAACTTTCATTTGTGCTTAATACAATTAAGCATTGAAGTCTAAAGTTAGATAAAATCATCTCAAATTACAATTAGACATTGAACTTATCATAAATATATGCTAAGAGTTTGCAACTCCTTAAGAGCATTGAGCTCCTGCATTCAAGATTTCGAGTTCGACTCTTCTTCCTCAATATTGCTCCTCTTTGTTTTGGTCCAATTTGTCAATATTAAATTGTATAAATTTTTTTATCATAAATATGTGTCATCATTACCAACCACGTCTGTCGAGCGTAAGACTTCAAATTCAATTAAATAGTGACAAATACAAATAGAATACTAGACAAAAAACTAATTACAGCATAGATGGTGAAAATTTCATTGTTCAATAATAATACACGAGAGACTTTTTTTCAACATTAGCTATCTTTTCACTTCAATTATCTCACTCTACCTTCTCGACTCTAATTCTCATCCTGCAGTGTTGGTTGATGATTGGAATCGTTTACTTTTTAATCACTCCTTAAAGATCAAGTTTGCAAAAAACCAACCAAATAAAAAAACATTTAATTGTTCGATTAATTTTGTCAATACATATTTAGAGTTTAAATGAGAAACAAAGTTCTTCTATTTCCTGGATCATAACTATTATATGACTAAATGATTCCAATTATTAAGCAACGAAATGAGAAGGAGGACCGAAAATATAGAACCAGGTTCAATCGTTCAAGTGTGAAAGTAGTAGCATTCATTTTTCTTTTTCAGTAACTGAATGGGTAGGTGGTTAATAACTTTGAATATGAAAGCACATCAATATTTTGGGACCATCCCAATGTCATGTACTTTATCTATAAATACAGAATAATGTAAGTTAATATTTTAGATGTATGTAAATTGTGACAGCCTGTCTCGAATTATTCGTATCGTAGGTGTGAAATGACGATTTTGCCCTCGGTGGTTATTTGTCATGTTGGGGTGGTTGTTTTGTTGGTTGCATTTGGACCACACACGCACTCACACCCATACCATGTACTCCCATGCCTTCTCTCTCTCTCCTCCCTCTTTCAATTTTCTACAATGTTCGTACAAGTCGTACGGACAACACCAAACCAACCCATTTCTGTGCAGATCGAGCTCGTGTTTAGTACCATCACCTTCATTTCGTCATCACAAACTCATCTATACCAGTTTTTGGACGTGAACGCTTGGAAAACCCGAGAACTCGAGATCCCAGTTCGAGGTACTGTTCATGCACACATAAAATCGTGTGTTTTGGGGAATTTCAAGCTCACAGGGAGCTTTAGGAGGTCCTCACGAGTCTCGGAGTGGTTCATTGGAAGAAATTGGACGTCAGGATCGTGAGTTACAAGTTTGGCCGATTTTTCTTGAATATCTTCGACGACATTTCGTGATCTTTGTGGCTTTAAACAGGTAAGGAAATGTTCTACAAGTTGAGAGCTTCAATTTGGTACTGGTTTCATGAAATTTGGTTGAAAAATGAGTGAGATATTAAGATTTGAAAAATTCCCAGTTTTCCGACGACGGCGACGGTACCGGAGAAGACAATGGAATATTCTGTTAAGTTAACGGAATATTCTTAACGGCGTCAGGTTAGTTTTAACGGAATCTATTAGTTTTCACGGAATATTCCCTAACGGCGGTTAAGGAATCCGTTAGTTTTGGTTGCGCGTGGGGGCGCATAGGGCCGTGCCCTCGCTGGCACGTGGAGCCTCGAAAAATTATTTTAAAAATATTGGGATGTTCGTGAGGTTGAGTAGATCACATTGATATATCCAAACATCCCATTTGAGCATTGTATGAGAAGTTATTACCTAGTTTTGGTTATGTGTTTTAAATTGACGTTTTTATAGTTATTTCACATGTAGGTGAGACCTATCCTGAGGACGAGCGCAGTCACTCGAGGTAAGGGGGTTACGACCCTTCCACATATCAGTGAGTGGACTTTTGGTTTTCCGTATATACCTATATACTTGTGGTTTTTCCCAGAAAATGAAATGGAATGTTTATATGTTTTAAATGCCATACATAGCATTTGCCTATTTATTTATGCATTAGTTGTTACATATATGTATGTTTAGTGCTGCGAACGCACAGGTAAGTGCCAGGTAAGTTTATAGTTTATGATTGTGAATTAGTGGTTATGTGAGATGCATAGAGAGCTCATAACATGCACCCCCAGTGTTAGTGCTCCCACCCAGAGTACGGCACAGCCCTTAACGTGATGTTCACATCCCGCACCACACGCTCATCTTGGATCCAAGTTAGGTGCACAGTCTTGTCGTACAAACTACTATAGGTGGTTCCGACTCGTAGGTGACCCGTGATTATTCGCCCAGTCTTCACGTGATCGTAGCACTTAAGCGTATTTATTTACACCCAGTCCTGTCGTACATACCACTTTAGGTGGTTCCGACTCGTGTGCAAGTATAGTTAGTGAGTTGGGGATTTGAGCTCTAGATTCAGCTGTATAGGTCACGTTAGGTGACTTTGGCTGACATGTTACTTGCATTGATTGACATTACCTGGGTTACTTATAGTATATGTGGAGGCATTCAACATGGCATATTTCTGAACATGTTTTCGATATATGTGTCTATTTTATTTTCTGGGAAACTATACAGGTTTTACGGCAAGGGGTTAGAACTTTTGATAATGAAATGATTTTAAAAAGCTTTGTTTTTGCCTACTCACACTTTCTGTTTTGCGCCCCTCTAGGTTCTAGTTAGAAACAGCTTTGGTGGTTTACGAGGACTTGTCAGTGGTTTTGACAGAACATCACAAATGTAGGATCACCTTTGGGTGTTGTGTAATTAGTATTCGTTCTTCTGGACTGCACTTAGGCTTTCTGTGCTCTGATTATGTTTATCACACCTAGTCTCACACTAGTGAATTACTTTAACTAGTTTATTTAGTAGTTTGGTTTTTATTTATTCGTACTTTTATTATTATCTTTTGCTTCCGCACTGTGCACATAGCTACGTCACCCTCACGTGACGGCCAGCACGCCTTGATTCCGGTCGGGATGTGTTACAAATGCTTTGAATAAAACACTTAATATATTTTCAATAATATGCATATATTTTCTAGTATATTTGAATTTTTAACCGTTAAATCTTTAGTTAAATATACAAAATGTAACAATTAAAAATATTAGAATATAAAATACTTGGTAGCACCATAGAATTTTCAAAATGATTGACTTGGAATATAAGATAGTTGGGGGTTGTAAGTTTGATCTCATTGTTGACAGCTGAACCAATTTATAACTTGGTATTATCTCTGGACTGTTTATTTTCTTGATTGCACAAATCATCCTTGTGATGTGATTCATATATTAATATTATTTATGTGGTGGAAAAATTTATAATACCCGGTAGTTTTTTTTTATTTTATTTTTTATAAATAATGTTAGGAAGATTAAATGTCACATCCCGGTCTGAGGAAGATTAAATGTCACATTCCGCTTTGGGTCTCGACCATACCCTCACGGTTTTGTTTTTGAGAACTCACACGAGAACTTTCCAATGGATCATCCATCCTGAGAATGCTCTCGAAGCCAGTGAGCTCCCAAAAGGCTTGTGCTAGGTAGGGATGGGAATATATATATATATATATATATAGAAGAATCACTCCCGTAGACGATGTGGGATCTCACATTAAATTTGTAGATTAAATTTTTAAAACTAAATAATATGGAAGTTGATGAATGAATTATTACTTAAATATTGTGATTCAACAAACTTCAATGTCTAAAATATGTATAATTTTCTAATTCACATGGATAAACTAAACAAAATTTGAATACAAAATTCGATGAGGAAATGAGACTGATAAAAAAACGTAATCACAAAAGTATTTTTACGATTTTTTTATCACAAGAAATATAAATAAATAAATTGTAGAAAAATTGATACCTTTAAAAAAAACTACAATGAATGTTCTTCCAGTAACATTAAATAAATAAGATCGACACAGAAATAGAAATAAAATACAGAGGGGAGAATGGCTGCGAAAGCAAAATTCAATGCATGATGACGTGTGTTTTAAGATCTATGAATATTTTATTAAAGAAGTGAACATAGTATTTTGTTTGTACATAGCGGAAATGAGAGGACCACACAAGCCATTATCAATTATCACGGCCTATCAAACACATAAAAAAAGAAAAGAAAACCAACAGTCTCTAAACCAGCAGTCCAAAGGTTACCCCCTTTCCAGTTTTTGCTGTTTTCGAGGTCATTTCCTTGGCACTCTCTTCGGTACTCTCTCTTTCTCCTCTTACTTTCTGGATTTATAGATGGATTATCACAAATTATAGAACTTTGATTGTCATCCTGCACCCTAGGAACCATAAAGAACACAGCTTTAGGTACACACACTCTGATCTAAATCTCAAGCTTTAATCTTTATTTATTTTTATTTTTTTTGTGAAATTTTTTTAGTTTTGATGATTTGGCTGGTGGGTTTTGATTTGTATGATCAAATTTTGATTTGGGTTATTGGGTATTTCTTAATTTTGTTCATTTCGTTGATTTGATGTTGTTATTGATTGCTAAAGTGAAGGAAAAAGAAAATTGATTGCTGTTAAATTATGTCTGTCTGTGCGTGTGTTGGAGCGAGAGTTCAGCTGGGTAGACTACAGAATATTATTGCTAAATTTTGGATTGACAAGGTAAAAAGATAGATATCGTATATGATTAGTGAATCGTTTTGCTTTCTTTGTCACGGCAATTGTTTGCTTCTGAGAAATTAAGAAGTTGAACAATACAAAATTACAGTTGTTAGATGCTAATTAAAGTATTTGTATGCGTTTGTGCCTGTGCGCGCGTGGCTAGAATTCGTCTGAAAGGGGTATTGACTGTATTGTATATTCATGGTGGATAGACTAGATTGCAAGATTTAGAGCTTTTTGTTGTAGACTGCCAAGCAGAAAAGCTGAAAATTGTGTATGGTCAATACGGTTTTTTGATCTCTTTGTAATGAATCTATATGATTATTTATAGTTATTATGTGCGCCTTAAAAAGTTTTTCCAAAATTTATAGAGTTTTTCAGATGGTGGGGATGAATAAGTTTTTCCAAAATTTATAGAGTTTTTCAGATGGTGGGGATGAATACTTACTTTCGTAATCAGATTGAACTCGGGGTTAGAAATCACAAGTATATCAACGAATAGTTGGCTTATTTCTTTTTATGTCAAAACTTAATTGAAAATTAAAGAAACTAATTTCTTGACTGATGGTTAGAATAATTATTTTGGGACAATCCATGTGTTGTATATGTGTATTCTTTACATACCATTTTGCTGTGTTGATTTCCATGCTATCAGTTGCTTCCCAAACTTGTTTCATTTACAGTTTACTCGTATTTCTTTCCTTAGGTCCTGGCATAAAAGATGAGTACACTAGATGCGGCTAGAGCCGAACTTGCTCTTGCAGTTCTGTACCTGAACAAGGCTGAGGCCAGAGACAAGATATGCAGGGCAATACAGTATGGTTCAAAATTCTTGAGTAATGGAGAACCTGGAACTGCCCAAAATGTTGACAAATCGACTAGCTTGGCAAGAAAAGTTTTTCGCCTCTTCAAGGTTAGGATTTGTGCTACATATGCCCTTTATTATTGTTTAAAACATTCTTTGTGGCTATTTGCTCCTTTTAATTTTTTGGAAGAACCAGAGGGAAAAAGGGATAATGCTTCCCATGAGGCCTTCCTTAAGTTTTTTTATTCTCTCTCTATGCTTATTAGGAGGACTTTTAGAGGCGTATTCAATTGAGATTTTGAGGGATTTTAATGGATTTATGAATCCATGGATTTTGATGGAGTTTAATTGAGGGGGTATTCAATTGGGATTTTGAGGGATTTTAATTCTTTTAATGAATCTAGAGGTATTCAATTAGGATTTTAAATGATTCTCTGAAATTCAATGGGTATTCAATCAGGATTTTAAGATAGTTTATTAAAATCCTTACAAATCTGGGTGTATTCAATTAAGATTTTAAAGAAGTTTATAACATTCCAAGTGTATTCAATTATAGTTTGATTTTAAAGAATTTGAAAAGGTTGAGGAATTAGAGGGAATTGGAGAGATTTCGTAGTGTATTTTAAGCATCCACAAATCTCAATCTCCCCATGAGATTTCGAGGGAATTGAATCAAAACTTACATGAATCTCTACAATCAATTAAACTCCTTAAAAATCTATAGATTTATAATTTGTAGAGCTTCCATGTAATTGATCCAATTCCCTCAAAATCTCAGGGGGAAAGGTGAGATTTGTGAATGCTTAAAATTCACATTATGGAATCTCGCCAATTCTCTCAAATTCCTCAACTTTTTAAAATTCTTTAAAATAGATTCCTTATTGAATACACATGAATGTTATGAACTTTTTTTAAAATCCTAATTTAATACATCCGGATTTCTAAGGATTTTAATAAATTGTCTTAAAATCTTGAGTGAATAATGTTGAATTTCAAAGAATCACTTAAAATCCTGATTGAATACCCCTAGATATTTTTTTAAAGAATTAAAATCACTCATAATCTTGCCACTTAGTACTAGTATTCCTCTTTACTTGTAAGTGAGAGGTCTTAGGTTCGATTCTTGCCAAAGGCAAATTTGAACCAAATTTTTGTGGTACACCCTAGTTTTCTAAGCGAAATATGTCATAGAACTTGAATTTCAAGCCTTTCTTTTCTTGAACGTTTTATGAATTGTCTGCTTGGTTCCAGTTTATCAATGATCTGCATGGTCTTATTAGTCCAACCGCTCCAGGAACTCCTCTTCCGCTTGTTCTGCTAGGAAAGGTATGCATATAATCTACTTCCGACTAGAATCGAGATTCTTCTTCAATTTTTTCTTTTTAATGACAATCTAAACTGATGCTTTACAGTCCAAAAATGCATTGCTGTCAACATTTCTGTTTCTTGATCAAATTGTCTGGCTCGGTAGAACAGGTATCTATAAGGTATGTATGATCACATACTTTTTCCAAACAATTGTTCTCTATTGGGTTCTGTGGCAATCTGTGGGGTAAAAGTTTAGAAATTGTGTTTGCTATAGAACAAGGAACGTGCTGATCTGATTGGCCGGATCTCTCTTTTCTGTTGGATGGGATCCTCAATTTGTTCCACTTTGGTTGAGGTTCGTTGCTCCCTAACTATGCTTCCCTTACTAGTACATATTGTTTTTTCCGAAATATACATGGCATGAACAATGTATTCTAATTGCTTCGTAAATCAGATTGGGGAGATAGGAAGGATTTCTGGACAGCTTAAAAAGTTAGAGAAGGATCTGAAGAACAGTGAGAAGTATCAAGTATGTTGACCACGTACCTTGTAAATGCAATGACCATAAAATAAGTCACGATGGTTCAGAATACGACGTTCTTTACATTTTTCGTGTGGCTCTGTGACTGCAGAATGAACAATACCGTGCTAGACTCAAAATGTCAAATGAGAGATCGCTGGCCCTGGTTAAAGCAGCATTGGACACAGTGGTAGCAGTTGGGTTGCTTCAGTTGGCACCTAAGAAAGTTACTCCTCGTGTTACCGGAGCCTTGGGATTTACTACTTCTCTGATCTCATGTTATCAGGTTTTTATACTTTCTTCAATGAACATTTGTTGTTATGAATATGCAACGGATCCAAAGGTGTTTTCCTATTGTTTTTTACTGAGTCTCCTTTGCTTCTGCCATGCAGTTGCTTCCAGCACCAGTGAAGTCCAAGGCACCCTAAAGATCGAAGTCCTGTTTGCTCATTGTGCTTCAGTGTCCGTTAAATAATTGTAGTATTTGTTAGTGCAAACGTTTGAGCAATTCGAACACTTTCACCATTACTTCGTTAACGTCCATAATGCTCTGTGCTATAGTAATAAATTAAATTATATATGTTTTTTCATTTACAATTGTATCAGCTGAACCTCAGCAGCATACTTTCGTTAGGGTTTACGTTTTCAGCAGCATTACTTTTATTTCCGGTTAAACACGTCTTAATCGGTGTATTTACGGGTTGCTTATGGCCTGTTTGGTATTCAACTAAAAACCTTTAGTCATTCTTAAAAACAACTTAAAAAGGAATTGAAAACAAGTTTTTCAGAATCAAAAAATTTTATTTGGTTCTCAACTTCCCCACCTCATTCCTCACGGTTGTTGGCACCATCCAACACCAGCAACTCCCCTAACCTTTCTGCGTAGCAATAAATAAGATCGGCACTCGCGGAGAACACAAATTGACGCTGGCGGTGGACTCGAATTGACGCTCAGCGGAAGGCGGGACTCGATCGACACTGGCAGCGAAGATCGGGTGAGGGTCGGTCTGTAGAGTGGTGTTTGGAGGTTGTGCTTGAAGACTTTAACAACATATTTTTTGTGTTTTTATCAAATAAGCATTGTTTTTATGTTGTTCTTAACTTCAGTTTTTAAAAACATCCAAACCAAGCAAGAATTTGAGTTTGGAATTCAAAACTTGTTTTTGAGTTATAAAAACTGTATTTGAATTGAATACCAAACAAGCTCAGTTTTTCACGTATTCAAAACCTTTCATCTACTTTTCTGTGTTTCGACGTTGATCCGAATTTGTTTCATCGAAGGTGCAAGTTTGATTGGAAAATCTATTTCTAATTAGAAAATTCTGAAATCTGAACGTTTTCGAGTGAAATTGAACGGCGTTCAACAAACATCCCTAGTTTGACTGCGAGTATTGCTCTATTCGAGTAAAACCGAACCTAACAGAAGAGTGACTTCGGCTTGGTTTCCAGTTTCGGCAAAAAATCGAAACGAACGGAATTGAACCCACCCCTATTTTCAGGTTCTAGACGGGTTGTAGAGTTCAAATAGAAAAACCCTACTTTCAATTCTCAAACAAGGAAATATACACCAAAAATATGATGAGAGAGACCTTAAATATTCAAACACCTCAAATATACAAGCAGCTAAAACTTGCACTTAGCAGAGATTATCACTGTTTCAGCTCCTCAAATATAACTCTACAGCAACTGTTTATGACATTCACTCTCACTTTGCCGGGGCTAATACACTCGAGAAAACTAGCCCCCGACGTGCGGAAGTCCAATTCAACGAGAGGACAGAAGCTATGGTTTAGAAACAATCAATGAAAAAACCGCTACTTTTGACATACAATTAGAGGAAATACTCTTCATCAGATCCCTCCTCTTCCTCCCATTCATATTCCCCCTCGATATTCTCAACTGGCAGCATGTCGTCTCCCATATTCTCGAAATTAACAGTGGAGATCACAACAGACTCATTCTCGGGAGGTTGGTTGTGCAACTTGGCCTGCACGTCGTTCTTCAACACAATCTCCCCAGATGGTTCATGAATTTCAACACCAAATGCAGGCGATAATGGCTTCCCTTTGACTTCAACATGACACACACTGCAGCACGCAATAGATTGCAATAATGCGCATAAAATTAGAAAACATGCAAAACAACACTCTGCCATAACAAAATGGATGATAGAACCAGCAAGTCAAAACAAAGAAATTTAATTCCTGCTCGCTCATCTATCTCATCAAGGAATTCCCTTTCCTGGGGTAATGCTTCCATCTACAAAAGTTTTAGATTGCCATGTTCCAATCCCAAAACCCACATGTCATGACAGCAAAAAAATCTCCCTGGCCTAATGATCCTAAAATCTTACAAATCCGGTTCCTTCCCTCTATATTGTTCTATGTTTGTCAATTTCCAGTACATCAACAGACGACTGACCACCAAAGAATAAAAATTAAAAGAGGGTGTGAAGCTTTCAGATACATGATACTGGCACCCGGTGGGATTTTTCTTTCTTATTAACAGAAATATCATATCATAACATGATCAGAGACAAATAGTACATTTCTTAAACACTTAAATGAGAATATACAGTCGAAGAAAAATAATTGAATAAATGCATAGATAAAGCAAACATGTTTCCTCAGATAATATATCATCAGGCATCAACAAACCAAGGCACAAAGACATGCAAATAGCAGAACAAGCAAGCATCACTTATCAGCTGAAGCTAAAACAAAGAAAACGAAAGTAATTATTGTTCTAAAGACAAAAGATACGGAAAAGAGTTCACATGTAGAAATATTTCAGTTTCCCATCCTGCACATCAAAACAACTAAATCCAATTCATTTTCACCATTCCAACAAAAGTTATTCAACTTATCCTGCCAATTCATATCACCTTTTTAAGAATCTACAAGCAATTTCGTAATGTAGGGGAATTTGTTCTACTATAATAAAAAAATCAAACCATGCGAACTTTACCATTTTGCAGGCTTTACTACAATAAAATTTTGAAGCCAAATATCCAACTGACAGAAAAAGAGTGATGCTATTACCACCACCAGTGTTTCCCATCTCATAATCTCTTTTTCTATGTAACATTACTCAATCAGCATTATCACAGGCTTAATGTGCCTCACGGTCAAAGACAAGTATTGAACCAGCAAAGGAAAAGAGTTGCAACATTAATTTGTAATTAAAACAATTGCAAACATTTCTATAATATTACTTAGTTCTCTTTTTAAGTTTGTCCTGTTAAATAATCATCAAGATAGTCATTGACAAATCAACAAGTCACTGGGGTGAGCATTTGGGGGATGGTAATAACACTTAAGAAAATAAACGCAAAACTAACCATATATAGAACAATCCGTCCATTTCTTGTCTCTGAACTCTACCCAGAAGCTCAATCTGTAAAATTCCACCTATGCAAAGAACTGGTTCTGGAAGCTTAAATGTCTGCAAGCGGTTCTCCTGTTTGTAAGGAAGTCATATATTAGCTTATTTAAGTCAAGTATCTAGTTAATCATAAACTTTAAATTCTAACATTTCAGAGCTGCGTCAAATATGATACAAGTCATAATCTACAACTTCAAATCCAGAATATCTGGTTTCTATACTGTAAAAATGTCTAGAAGATCCAGAATTTTCAGTTTGTACTTGTAGTATGAATTCAATGGCCCATTTTCTCTGCTGAAAAGTTTCTTTATAAATTAGTGGAAACATTAGGAGTGCATCATTTCTTCCTCCCAAAAGGAGAGAGCATTTAGTATTAAAGGAACCATTTCACAACAAATAAGATGCAAATGCAGAAAGGCAGTTGAGAAGTACAGATCAGGTGGTACACACCTGAGTCATTCGGAACACTTCTGAAGTGTAGGTCCATACAAACTTGTTTTCATGACATGATTCACCCTTTGAATCACAGTCTACAACCACAGGGGATTTGACATGACCCATTCGAAATCGCACAGCATTGGTCGAATATATTGGTAAACCTGCCTGGAAAAAAGCTGCAAATGGGAAAAGACAGAGAGACCCCAATCAGAGAAATTTAAAGGATAAAAGAATGGCAAACACAATTTGGAAATTCAAACACTTGCCTTGGAAAGGATGTATGCTGATTTCATTAATTACGACCAAATCAGACACCAACTTGTATATCAGAAACTCAGGCACTGCAGGGTCACTTTGGCCTTTACTTGACCAATACGAAGCTCTCCGTCCCACCATGTCTCTTGGTTGTAGAGTATTGTGAATGGTTTCTTCCGGATTATTGTCAGTGCTGGAAGCACTGATTGCCTCGGAAATAGAACTCCTAACATCAAAAGATATAAAACCACGAGCTAAAAAAGCATAGACCCTATGCTCCCTTTCCAAGGTTTCCAATTCCTTTGAATTGCTAGATCCAACTTCTGCAAACTCTTGTGCGTTGGGGCTGTTTAACTCAACCACACCAGCAACTCTAGATAACTGAGGGAACATTCTCAAGCACAGCTTTTTACAAAGACCATTTTCTATCACTGAAAAACATTAAAAGTTACAAACTCTTCAGTCTCGTTTAGTAATACAGGAGATATAATATTAATAAAGGAATCAATCCATATATACAATATTGATGGAGAGTAAAGACAACAAGCGCAGACTACTCACCACCTACAAACAACTTAAATATAAGCACTTTGGTGAAAATAACAATAAAAATCAACTTTATATCTTTCCTAGACTTGAACACTAAGCTACTCATAATGTGTATAGAACATATAATCACAATTGGACTTGCACATTAGTGAACTTAAAAAAGAAACCGAATATATGAAACCGATTCAACTCACCAAAATGACGCCAAGAGCGCGAGACAGAACTAACGCGAACAAGATCAGATTGATCGTCAAAACAAGTTAGGACCTTGAAGGACATGTCAGGTTCAAGCCAGTTCAAGAAATCCATACAAGGAACCAATACAAGTAACTACTAGTACATATAATAAACGAACCCCGGGTGCCTTGCGAGCCTCAAGACCTGATTTCAGATAGCAAGTGACCACAATCAATACAGTACATAATGATAATTGAAAAAAAAGAAAAAGAAAAGAAAAGTAAAGCAATTCATAAGTAACGCAAATTCTGCCATGTATAACGAAAGAACATAAGCTATAAGTCTATTGAAACAACAATCTAACAGCAAAAGCTAAAATTAAGCAAAATTAAGAAATGCCATTAGAAACCAATCAAATTGATCACACTCCTGTCATTCATGGCATCAAATTTCACATCAACGACTGTAATTTAGTGTCGAAGATGGCGATGGTGATTAAGATATTGGTGTGTATTAGGGAACATCCCAAAATTTTTATATTTTATTATAATTTCACATTTCACATCAATTACTGGAATTTAGAAAGAAAAAAAAAAAAGATTGAATCTTGAAACCAGAATTCATAATTGCAAATTGATATGTTGGAAAAGTTGAAACAAATCGAGGAAATTGAAGGAAGCTGCCGGTGAAAAGTGAGTAAAAGTAGAACAGAGAAAAACTAGAACATTGGAACAAATTTATCTTTAAGTCGAAAGCGCGCAAAGAGAAGGAGGAGAGCAAGAAGAAACCATCGAATTCTGACCTTCTGTTGACGAGCAAAAGTGTCCCTGGAGTGCCCGAATCCTTAGAAGGGCAAAAAGATTGGGATGGGCAGAGAAGGTGAAAGAGAGACTCAGAGAGAGAGAGAGAGAGAGAGAGAGAGGGAGAGAGGGAGTGTTGGTGACAAGCGCCTGATAGAGACGGCGTGTAATGGATCGTTTCGGGATTCTTTTAATTATTTTTAGACCTCTTGAGACTATCTCCAATGATTAAGCTAAAATTCAAATATTTTAGTCCAAGAAATTTATTTTTTAACTTAAAAATAGTTTTTTTATTCTAATTATAACCTAAAATTTTAGGCTGGAATTATTAAAGAATAAATTTAGACTATTTTTTTTGTTAAATTAATTTTTTTAAATAAATATGTAGATTATTGTAAATTAATTTTATAAACAGTTTAATCTAAAAAAATTTAAATTCCGATAAATATTGGATGGAGTCCACTCTGATTTCTGGGCTAAATTTTGGGGGGAATTTGGCCTTGGTTTAGCATTTAGCATTTAGCCCAAAATTTCCCCTTGGGTTGGAGTGGGTTTAGGGGAAAATTTTAGGGGGTAATTTGACTTTTAGCCCACCATTGGAGTTGCTCTAAATAATAACTTTAATTTTTTTTTTTTTAATTTTTTGTCCTTAAGCCTCTTTCTCGTTTTAATGAAAAACGGAGTTGATTGGATTCCAGTCATTCACCATTTTTATTTTCGTAAGTGGATCCAGGCTTTTTTCAGTTGGTCTAGGCCCCATCACAGAGCTCTCTTCGGTATTAAAGTTTGGTCGTATTTTTCTTTACTTATAAGTAATAATTTTTAGATTTGATTTTCAGCAAAAACTAATTTGAACTACATTATTACTAATCTGTTATGAGGTTAAGCCTATCTCTTCTTTCTTAATGTAGATAATTTGTTTAAAAAAATAAATTTTTGCTTAAAGTTTTTTATTTTTTTATTTTTTTGTGCTAGAAATAAATAGAATATATGTAAAATGAAGAATAGAAAATGATGAAGTGAGATGACGGGAGGAATTGAGAAAATTTTGTGAATATCCAAAACAAAAATTACATAATATACTTGTTTATTTACGATTGAAATATCGCAAGCAAATACTTTCTAGTAAATAAGCAAACAATTTTTTTTCATGTGCACAATCTTATTTTCCAACTAATTGATCTTTAATCCTTTCTTGCGTAGATTGACAAAGTAATGGCGATTTATAAGACAAGGGTTCCACCAAAAAAACTCCGTTTTTAAGTTGTTTCATGCTTGGGACATCCTCAAGGATTGTATAAGGTGGCGGACCAGTGTGGATCAACAATGGAATAACTGTTAATTTGGCGATCATGTTGACGAATGGGTGACCTCATCTTCACCTATAACAAGATTGTCGGGACAATATAAGCAAAATGAAGCAAAGAAACAAGGAAAGATGCAAGATCTAATTGGTGCCAAGCTTTGTTCCGGAGTTGAAAAATAAATTGAAAGGCATGAGAAGACAACGGAAGAAAGGGTTTGAATGCGCTTATTCATGGAGAAGCAAATAGAAAAGGTAGATGCAAGAGATCTTTTAAAGCAAGAAAGGTTCGAGTTTGAGGTAATGAAGGAGCACTTCAACAAATATACTCCAAGGAGGAAAAAGTTCTTCCGTGATAAACAAGCAGAAAAGCAGTTTTCTGAGTTATGGCTTAAAATTTTATGATTTAATTTTTTTAGCTTTATCCCCAACCATTGGAATTGGTCTAAGTAGCCCATCCTAATTGTTCCAAAACCCTTTAATACACAAAAGCAAAACCCATCATCCACACAATTATCCAAATTCTCAAAAATAAATATCTTTCAATTTCGCAAGAAGTGTGTAGCTCAAGTGATTAATACTTATCATTACACTAAATTATGTTTTCATTTTTATGCTATATTAATATTGCTTGTACCAGAAAAAGGAAAACATCCCAAACCCAAGTTATCCAATGCTCGAGCATTTTCAAAATTGCTTATAAAAGAGCTAAAGTCATTTACAGGTAATCAAAAACACTTCTAACTATTGGCTAAATATTTTATTTCCTACCAAAGAGGTTTGAAAAGGGACCAAAGATATGAATTATAAGAAGCAAACAAATAACACATTCGAAAAAAGAAAAAAAAGAAGCGCTTATTGGCTAAATATTTCCTGCCAAAGAGGTTTGAAAAGGGACCAAAGATATGAATTATCAGAAGCAAACAAATAACACATTCGAAAGGATGATGATTGATAAGTATAGACAAACATATATTACAAAAGATTACTACAAAGACAATTTCCTCATCTTTCAAGCCAAAATTCCCCAACCAATCACCCCATATGTCATATATTACAATCAACTGGCCAATTAATTTCCATAACAAATATCATACTTTGGAAAAAACTAAACATAAATTTTCATGGTCAATAAGTGTCAAGCAATTATTATAACTAGTATATTGCGAAGTTTAGCCTACTTCATCTTTTCTGGTGTAAATAATATCAAATATGTTTTAAAAAAAAAAAGGTTGGAAATAGGGAGCCGAATTTTATGATTTTCTGTGTTGTGGCCAATGCATATTTTGAATGTTGAATTTTTTTCCTTTTCCACATAAATTCATAGATTACTTTCCTTTTCCGCATAAATATGTAGATTACTTTCATTAACCCATAAATCCGTAAATTACTTTCCTTCTCTTTTCTTTATTACTTTCCTTTTCCATATAAATTCATACATTACTTCATTTTTCTTACTTTCTTTCTTTGTTAATATTTTTTTCCATTCATGACAAACGTTATAAACTGTCCATAATGCTCAAAATGTGTATATCACCAACCACGTTTTTAGTACATGATGGTCGTAAAATTACGTTTCTATAATTTTGCATTTATTTACAAATGACAAATATCTAGATTGATAATGGAAAGCTTCTTACTACTTTTGAATTAAAGAAATCCAACAGTTGTGGTATATGTGAGTTGAACTTAAAATGTCAACAATCACCGATCACATCAGTAAAAGTTGGTAGGAAAACCATCATCTTGCAAAGTAAACAAGCAAGCATGTGTTGCTTAGTCAACCGATTTTGAGCTCCACCACACCACTTCCAACACTCGAAAGAGTCGAGGAATCTTTCTTTTTCCGGTTGTAAAGCGGAAGAGGAGGGAGAATGGGCACAGCCCCACCAGTAGCCCGCATTTTCCACACGGGTTTTCTTTTAGGCAGATGTTGGCCGTAGGATCAACAAGTACTTGGAGTCCTCGCAGATATAGCATGTGCGCCATGCAGGAAACGCTTAAAGCAAGTACTGCAAATTACGAGATTAGACAGTTGTGATGTTCTCCCAACACCCATTCTAACATTGCTACTGATATAAGCTTGATTTGTGGGTCCTGTAGTTGGGTTGTAACTTCGTCAGGTGTCAAATGTGATGCTGTACCTGGTCATTTAACTTAGATGTCTCCTCATTTCAATGGTTTAATGCCAACTGTCTCTTATGGCAGTCTATTAGACTAAAACGTCAAACTACTAAACCTTTGTACGAGTTTTTCCATACTACAAAAGATGACGAGAATGTTAATTCTCAACCATTTAGGCATTAAAGGCCTCTTCTCTCCTTTGAGTATTGTAATCCCATGTAATTGTCTTGCCCGCAGAACCCAACAAGGGTTGTAACTCAATAGAGTGAGTGGGAAACCTTGTATATGCAAGCATGAGAATAGAGATCAATCTGTCTTGTCTTAGACCAGCGCCCATTTTTACTATCTTAAAATAAGGTGTTTGTGATTGTTCTAGAAGAAATGAAACAAAAGATACAGTAAAGTTAAGATAGTTATTATGCTGGCCGCTTATGTGTCTTCTAGACACAGTCATGCTTAGTATGTGCTTGTGATGCCAATGATGGTTTATAGATATGACATAGCTCAATACTGACTACCTACCCTTACCGGGGCCAGAAAGGGCTAATTAGACGTCCCCCATGCTACAGTTCCCTGTAGTCTGAACCTTGTGCCATCACAATAGAAAGATGCGTTGATGTTCCCTTTTTTTAAATTCTAGCTATTGATTGATTATTCCTATTACACAAGTGCCTCTCTATTGATTTCTTCAATTCTAATGAGTTTATGAAGGCTTCCAGTAATGCAGGATAGGCTAATCACCAAACTGCTCTGAAATATGTGAATCGCCAGAGATAATCACGAGATATCCCTCTTGCTTTGCTGTTTGAAACTGAATCTCGGTGAACGTGAGTAAGGACTTTAGGGCTAATGAAAACCACTAACACTTTCCTCATTGGGCTCTGCGCAAAGGGAAAATGCTCTAAAAAATCAGCCTAGGCACAGAGGGAAAATGCAACATTTTGGTCTTCTTTTGTAATTGTTATCCTATGAGAGTCCGCCACCTAGCATCCTATTAACTAAAGGGCTTATGAATATGCCAACCAAAAAAAAATAAAAGCATCCTCGCCGGATCACATCTGTTCATCGTATATTGTATGATCAATTTTCATTTGGTACATTTATATTCAATTTTAAATAAAAAAATTTACAATGATTTTTGACCGCACGATGTACAATGAACATTTATGATTTGAGGATCTCCGGGATCCTCATAAAGAGAATCTGACGAGGATCCTCACTCACAAAAACATTAGGAGGTGTGGTGCCAGATGTCTTAGAGCAATTCCACCGAAGGTGGAATACCCCAGCACCCAGTCAAAAAACCAGGCCGGCACCTTGTCAATTCACTCCAACCGAGCAACTTGACTGGCACCCAGCCCAAGCTGATCTCTAGGCCAGCCCAAAATTGACAGACCAAGGAGCCGGCCTATTTGCCTGGCGCGTATAGCTTACTCGTGAGTGGGCGCAAGGAGGGGACAAGGGTGCAGGCGACGAGGCTCGCTATCAGCCCACTTGTGCTTCACCCGGAAAGAGGCGACATGGCCCTCTCAATGCCGTTGGATTTCCAATGGCTAGTTTTTGTAGACCGTTGGGTTTCCAATGGTAAAAATAATTTAAAACTAGCCGTTGGAAATCCAACGGTAAAAAAAAATTTTAATTTAACTTTTAAAATGGACTGTCCGATCACAGATCAACGATCCACGTTTATTTCACCAAAAAGAAAAATAAAATAAATTAAAAAAGGCCCAAC